GGGGATGTAGGTATTCAGATGACATAATTGCAGCTAAAAACATTTCTATGATAATCAATGTGAATTTGTTATTTTCCGGAATTGTATACTTATTAACAAAAAATAAAAACAATATACTTACAATTTATGATGGTACCTATATATATTATAATATTTTTACAACATATTTTTGCTTTCAAGTACTTTCGTTAAGTACCTCCCTAATTTAAGATTTTTTCTCACCTAAAACAAGAAAAAAACCTTTACCTATTTAGGTAGGTACCTAATTTTATTTATTTTGAAACCAAAAATCCCATCTCTTATTATAATATAGAAATCGGCGCTGCGCGAATCTATTTTACTATTTTAAAAATAGTATTTTTTAAAATGGTTCTAACACAAAGTTTGGATAATATTTTGTAATATTTTTATTTTTTTAGATTTTGTTGTTATTTTTACAATTGCGAGTTTGCACATTTTTGAAAATGGTTTTAAAACAAAGTTTGGATAATATTTTGTAATATTTGTAGGAAGGTACTTTTTAAGATTTTGTTGTTGGTTATTTTGACTTTTTTTAACATCCCCTGTGTTAGTATTAAATATATTTTTTCCAAAAAAATATTTTATAACAAGCATGTAAAATATTTAACAAAAAATGCTTGTTAATAATTGTACAAAACAACAAGATTTTTTTGACCAATAGTCGCACACAACCAGACCAGGATCTGCAAAATTTTTAAGGGAGACGAGTTGCCTATTTTTGTCAAAGTAAAATAAGAGGTAAATAAAAAATTGGATTCAAACAATTTATTTATTTTGCCTGGAAAATTAGTATTAGTAGGTGTATGGTATTTACGTAGAATAAAAATGCCAAAAGAAGATTAAGAGATAACTTTGCCTGCATTTCTTTTATCAAACATATTTACAACATCCTCAAAATTTATTGCTTGTGCAAAAGTGTTCTTAATTGACAAAATTGCAAGTCCAGACAATTTCTGACTCATGGAAGAACGTATATAATTATTAATTTTAATTTACTAAAACTTATCTCACCACTTGCAGTGTAGAGAGTACAAAATATGCGCAACGCATTATATTGAGAGCACTTAGAGCTCTTTTTAAGTCAAAAGATTTGAGAGGGTTTAAAAATTGGTTTTGAAACACAACCAGCTCCTGAAAAAAAATCCGCAAAATTTATATCTTTGTTGTATTTAAAGGCTAGATCAAACACCATGTTTTCCAATATGTATAGAGATTAAAAACTGTATATGCACTTAGTTCCAAAAAACAACCATACCAAAAAAAAAAAACGATTTTGGCTATCAATTATTCCTTAATATTTACTAAAAATTAATAAATTCCCTCGGTTGTGTATTGGTAGATATTATAGGCGTGTCAAGTTTTACGAATGAAGTATATACTAAAATAACAAATCCGGACTAAATTTTTTTACAGTTATAGATAATCTTTAACAGCGTATTTTTTATAATAACATTATTTTTACAATTTATAATTCCCACCTCTAATATGTACTTTTAACAATAAACATTGCTGGATTCATTCGAAATTCTTGATATTTTATAACATCGTGACGTCACTTTCTCTCTTTTAAAACGCTATTGGGTCATTCCGCGTTACTCGGGGATTTTTGTCCCGCCCGTCACAATTAAAAATTGTGAGTAAAAACTACACGTTATAAAATTTATTTAAAAATATTGTTTTATTATGCTTTTTATAAGTTATAAGCACAATAAAAATAATATTATAAAATATTTATTTTATAACTTGTGGTTTTTACTCACAATTTTTAATTGTGACGGGCGGGACAAAAATTACCGAGTAACGTGGAATGCCCCTATTCGTTCTCAAAAATTCCAAAATATTTAATATGCAATACAAATTTACATTTCCCAACCCCATTGCTGGACAATGCCCAGTGGGCTTTATAGTAATTACTAATTAGGTTTCGTATGTAGGGTGGTCCAGAAACGAATTAAAAAAGTGAAGTTGTAAATAGACTTATTCTCACCCTCTAATTTTTTTATATAAAGTAAAAAAAGTTATTTTAGAAAATTTGAACCCTTTAGCTTAATTAGAAGGGAGTGCTCACAGCTATGATAGAATGAATCTGAAGACAATATATCCACATGAAAATCATGGTCCAGAACTCTTAGTAGCATAAATTGCAGCTTTTTTGTGGTTTCTGTCGGAACAGATTTCCGATTCGTTTCTACGATTTGTAACAAGTCTTGCTTTTCGTCCTCATTTTTTATAATTGATTATGCTCTTCAAATAGTTTTACCCATCTTTCCGCTATATCATTTACAACTCGAAGTTTACAACACACAGTCGACCTTGAAAAATATAAGTAAGAAATAATTTATTGCGTAGACAAAGGCCATATTAATATTATGATTATTATTATTATTATTATTGTTGGTATTAAAATTATTACGAGTTTATTGGATAAGTACCAAAGATGATGTTTCAGAGATTCTCTAGCAACCTCGCTTTTCCCAATCTCCTCATAGCGTTTTAAATCTTTCCAAAAAGTTAGGTCGGACATAGTAGCTTTAGTGGCACACGGTGCCTTGATCCAGATTTCACCAAAACGACCAAAGCCAACTCGATCAGTTCCAAGTAGTCGTCATAACGTTGAGACTTTTGTTTCAATGCAGCTAGCAACAAGGGGATTGGGGAGTTTTTGTAAAATTTAAAATTCTTCGACGATTCTAGGTCTGAGGACTTGAAGCAGATACGATCAATAGGTACCCAAATAATTTTAAATCGATTAAAAATTGGAATATCCGGAAAGCAGCACAACTTGAAAACCTTACTAAGAATTATTTCCAAAACATGATGACTGAAGACTAACCAAAGTAAGTATCTCCCAATTTTTTCTCAAGCAAAACGCAGCATCCATTCTTCATTCCAGTATTTACAGATGTTGTGTCAAAACACATTCCTTATACTTTATCCACCAGATTCCATTCTCGAAGTACGTTTCCGACTTCATTTGCTGTACTCCTAATAACTTTTCTATTCCATCTGCTGAAACTACTACTGATAAATGTTCTACTTTACTTAAGCAGTGGTAATCAGGAAGAATTTTACCATCCCAATGAACAAAAACTAAACCTTGACAAGAAAAACTTTGTTTCATATCTTTTCTTCCTTTCATGTTTTCGTCTCCGGCAAATAGTGCTGTGAGACGGCATTTCATGCGGATCTTTTCCCAGTGCTATCGCAATCTGTACTATAAGCCTTAGAACTTCACGGTCTGAGACATTTTCCCTATCCAAAGCACTTATGACATTTAAACTGTAAAGTGTAGTTTTTAGTTTCTTAGGGAAAGGTGCGGGATTAGCTGATTGAACTAGTGTGTAAGAAATATATGTTTAGGTAAATAATATTCTTTGGTAATTGTAACATTAATATATAGGGCATAACATTTTATCTAACCAGTAAAAAGATGGCGTAATGTTTTTTTTAAATAAATTAAAAAAAACTGAAATCTCTTGGCTAATGAGCACTCCCTTCTAATACACCTAGGGGCCTAAAATTTTGGGAATTTTTTATTGATGTTGGAGGTAAAAAAATTGGGAGGTGAGACAATATGTAAAATCAACTTCACTTTTTTGGACCACCACTACATTGTAGGTACTTTAAATATTATTCACATGAACAAAGTCACTGACGAATTGCTGTGGCAATGATATTTTATCCCCCATCAAATTATTTCCGCATTTCAGTAAATCTCCGAAAAATTAAATTTAGTTATTTTTATTTAAACAAACTTTACATGTATTGTATTGTATTGCAATACTGCAAAAATATATTAATATATTAATTAAGGATACTTGGTGCTCCCTGTATATCGGCATATTAATACTAATCATATTATTATCGTTTATATTAATAATATTTAAGTTAATATTGGACAAGATTATCTTATCTATTAAGTGGAATATAATTTAATTAAAGCTAAAATAAAATTACATTATAATGCCTAATTATTATTAAATTGTTAATTAGATATTTTTATTTCACTGTGCACTGGCGTCGCGACGCGTCGTTCTTTTGCCAATGCATAGTGGAGTGTTTTTGTGAAATTAATAAAAATGCACATAATTATGTGCATTTTTATTAATTAGTAGGTATATTTGAGTAATGAAATATTCTGAAATAATGATCTCTTTTATTAAAAACAAAGTACAAAGTATGTATACAAGGGAAAAGTAAGGCTCTTAAAAACAAACTAAATAGTTTAATAAAATAGGACTTGTTACATTGGCGGATCCAAGGGGGGGCGATGGGGGCGATCGCCCCCTCCGGAAGTAAGTTATCAAGTTGAAATTGAACATAACTTTTTAAATTAATATAGAAAGTAATAAAAAAATGGAATAACTTTAATTTCAACTTTCTTATTATTTACAAAAATTTTCAACTCCGCCCCCCCCAATGACACATTCTAGATCCGCCCCTGACTTGTTACATATATAGGTATTTAAATATAGGCATTATTATTATATATATTGTTTAAAAATAGTATTTAATCCGATACTGTTCAATTACAAGTTTAATCCTTTAATACGTAGGTAGGTATACTATATCTCAATTTATTAGTTTATTGGTGGCAACAAAACCAAATAAAGTAAAAGTAAGAGTGCTTTCATTTTGTTAACTTCTACACATAGTCTACCTGGTGCTTGTCGCGAGATATCGACTTATCATTTATATGGCTACACACTGTAAACGCACAACATACTTCGATAAATAAATATTAGCATATGGAACGCATATTATATTGTAACGAACGGTAGCGCGCCCAGGATGGGCGATTTCCAGTTGAGCACAGGTTCGACCGGGATGGAGAAGTTCCGCAACGGAATTACGAAATAGAAATTATATCCAAGTGCCTTGACCTCTCAAGTCAAACTGTTGAAATCCACCGACTCTTTATAAACGCCTTTGTACCGTGTTTTTATTAGTTTTGTTTACTTTAACACCGAGATAGCAATATGGAAGACAGAAGCTTTCTTGGGCTTGACTTGAGCACACAACAGGTATGTTTCACATGATTAATTTATTAGTTGTTATCGGTGAAATCACTCTGGCCTGCGATACACACAAACGCAACACGCATGCCCGATGACGTTTCGTTTACCACGTGGCCGCTATGAACGTGAAACTCGTTGAACCGGACCAAAGAAAACCGGACTCACAATGGGAATAGTGTACAGGTACCTCTGATGAATCACCTATGTTGTTTATCTTTGTCTATAAGATGTTTTCTAAATTAGAGGAAGGGGCCGCCTATAAATCTATATATGCTAAACATGGTCAAAATTGACCCCGTCACACTCCCTTATGAGTAATTCTATCATTTTTCAACAAATTTGACAAAAATTGAAAGCTGACCTTATTGAATTTTCTTAAAACTTTCAGGGTGTGAAGACCAATGCTTAGGACGAACAAAAACCAAAATAATATTTTTTTATTTAAACACCCTGAAAAAGTAGACAGGGCCATGTTGACCGGTTTGCATAAAAAATTACCAAATCGGTGTCTAAGAAAATCCTTTATAACTTAGATGTTTATTAATATTTTGTATTGCGTAATATTTTGTTTTAACCATAAAACAATGTACTTTTTAAATATACATATGCCTAAAATTATACAAATGTTTTTACAAATGCAGTTTTTGAGTGCTAAATGTACGACATGAGGCTGATGTCATCAGCATCACATGTCGCTTGTTTTGTGGTGATACCTACACTTTCTAACTTTTGAATGAGCATGTCGATTACCTTTTTTTTATTATATCGATTACACAAAAAAATTTCTTGGCTGATTGGCACAATCATTGTTTCTTCGAAACAAACTTCCTACGATTTTGAAAGCGTTGCAGTTCTTCTTTGTTGTTTCATTGCTTTTATATTTTTAGTATAGTCTGAGTATATATCCGTCAAATACAACTTCAGTTTTTGACCCATAATGTGTTTGTAAGATTACTTTCAAACTTTTTGGTTACAGTTATCCTTTGACAGAGTAACAATGGATCTACAGAGACTTTACAATCATTAATTTGGACAAGTTTGTTAAAAATTGAAATCGGTAAAACCTTATCAGCGCGTTTCAACTTTATCTCACTGAAGTTTAAACCAGTTATTTTCACCAAATATTTTAACCCGATTTCATTGGCTTTGTAACAATTAATTTGGCAATTTCCAACGATTCCTTAAGCTAAAGATACTGTTTTGTACTCGACGCACCTAGTTTTTTGGTAAATATTTCAAAGCTCGTTATTGGAAAATTACTGAATCGATTTTGAAAATCTTTGGAAATTCTGAATAGCTGATTCTTTGAATCTTATGTCTTATTTTGGGAATACGATATTTTGCACATAGCATAGAATGGGAATAAATTGAAATTTCGGAAAAAATACATCTCTTCGTTTAACACCCTGTAGACTGTAGTATAATATTATATGGGAATAAATTGAAATTTCGGAAAAAATACATCTCTTCGTTTAACACCCTGTAGACTGTAGTATAATATTATACTACAGTCTACAGGGACCCTGTAACAGGGTGTTAAACGAAGAGATGTATTTTTTCCGAAATTTCAATTTATTCCCATTCATGAGGCAGTTGAGTTTGATAGTCGTAATACCCCTCCCTAATATAAGTAAGGTAATCCCTCGGAACGTTTTCGAGATTTTGTGAATATCGTGGCTTACTACGATTATATGCCAATTTTTCGAAAATTGTCGTTATTTCCCAGTTTAGTCCAAAAAATTAGCAATAGTGGATTCTTTGACTTAGGTCTAATTTTGAGAATACGATATTGTGCACATAGCATTAAACTACAGGGTGTTAAAAAAGGAGATATTTTTTTCCAAAGTTGAGTTTGATAGTCGTAATACCCCTTCCTAATAACAATTAGGTTATCCCTCGGGTCGTTTTCGAGATTTTGTTGATATCTTGGCTAACTACGATTATATGACAATTTTTTGAAAATTCACGTTATTCTTCATTTTAGTCCAAAAAATGAGCAATAGTTGATTCTTTGACTCTTATGTCTAATTTTGGGAATACGATATTGTGCACATGTTAACTACAGGGTGTTAAAAAAAGAGATTTTTTTTCCAAAATTTTAAATCCCCATTCTCAGGGCAGTTGAGCTTGATATAATTATATATATATATATATCCTAATATAAGTAAGGTAATCCCTCGGAACGTTTTCGAGATTTTGTGAATATCATGGGTTACTACGATTGCCATATGCCAATTTTTCGAAAATTGTCGTTATTTCCCAGTTTAGTCCAAAAAATGAGCAATAGTGGATTCTTTGACTTACGTTTAATTTTGAGAATACAATATTGTGCACATAGCATGAAAATTTTAAATTCACAGGGCAGTTGAACTTGATAGTCGATTACGATCGAAATACCCCTCCCAAATAACAGTTGGGTAATCCCTCGGGACGTTTTCGAGATTTTGTGGATATCTTGGCTTACGATTATATGGCAATTTTTCGAAAATTCACGTTATTATCCACTTAATTCCCAGAAATGAGCAAACTACGAAAGGTATCGATTAGTTATCAACACAGCGTTTTAAGGTAGGTCACGTGCTTCCAGTTTATTCACGTTGCGTGATTCATTAAAACTGAAATGTTTCACACAAAAGCAATTTTTTTCGGTGAAATTTAAAATTAAAACGCAAACCAAACAAAATTATACTCGTAAACTTATGCAGGCTATATTCATGCAATTTTTTACAAACGGTTGACTATGATAGTTTAAAAAATATGTCGCATATCTGCTATTCCCCAATTTGCATGTTCTTGTGCCCATCTTCTTCTAGCAGAAAAGAGGGCAGGCAGCTCTTCGTCTTGCGTGGTATGCAACCTTACATCCGTCATTTTTTTCATTTTTTAAATGTGTTTTGCTGTTTGAAAAATCACTTGAATAATTGAAGGGAGAAAACTCAAAACCAGATATGCGCCATATTTTTTAAACTTTCATAGTCAACCGTTTGTAGAAAATTGCATGAATATAGCCTGCATAAGTTTACGAGAATAATTTTATTTGGTTTGCGTTTTAATTTTGAATTTCAACAAAAAAAATTGCTTTTGTCGAAACATTTCACTTTTAATGAATCACGCAACGTACATAAACTGGAAGCACGTGACCTTCCGTAGTTTGCTCATTTTTGGGACTTAAGTAAAGAATAACGTGAATCACGAATTTTCGAAAAATTGCCATATAATCTTAGTTATCCAAGATATCCACAAAATGTCCCGAGGAATTGCCTAACTATTATTAGGGAGGGGTATTACGACTATCAAGCTCAACAAGCTATGTGAACAATATCGTATTCCCAAAATTAGACATAAGAGTAAAAAATCAACTATTGCTCATTTTTTGGACTAAAATGAAGAATAACGTGAATTTTCGAAAAATTTCCATATAATCGTGGTTAGCCAAGATATCCACAAAATCTCGAAAACGTCCCGAGGGATTACCTAACTGTTATTATGACTATCAAGCTTAACTGCCCTGTGAATGGGGATTTGAAATTTTGTAAAATACCATCTCTTTTTTTAACACCCTATACTATAGGGCCTATAGTATAATGCTATGTGCACAATATTGTATTCCCAAAATTAGACGTAAGTCAAAGAATCCTTTATTGCTCATTGTTTGGACTAAACTGGAGAATAACGAAATATTTTGAAAAATTGGCATATAATCGATATTTACAAAATCTCGAAAACGTTCCGAGGGATTACCTAACTTATAATAGGGAGGGGTATTACGACTATCAAACTCAAATGCCTTATGAATGGAAATAACTTGAAATTTCTTAAAGAATACATCTCTTCGTTTAACACCCTGTAGTATAATGCTATGTGCAATATATCGTATTCCCAAAATAAGACATAAGAGTCAAAGAATTGGCCATTCAGAATTTCGAAAGATTTTCAAAATCGATTCAGTAATTTTCCAATAACGAGCTTTCAAATATTTTCCAAAAAACTAGGTGCGTCGTTTTTTATGACGATCAGTTTAGTTTACCTACATCATTGTTATCTCTTTTTACTCGTGAATCTCTAGGCTAGAGACTCTAGCATCAATGTCACAAATTGTATTTGTAGCTTACATAACATACACCCATTTACACAACACACTCGACCTTTTTCATCATTCTAAAATGGTCTTTAAGTAAAAAGTTTTAGTATGACTTGTTTAAGATATTCTAATTTTGAGTTTTTTTACCTAATATTCTAAATTTAAAATTATTTCATTTTATTTTCTTAAAATTAAGACCAATTTTGAGAGTTATACCAAATTTAAAAAATAACTTTATCAAAAGTTACATTCAGGGCCGTAGCGACGGACTCAGGGGCCCCGGTGCAAAACTTTAGGATAGGATAGGATATCGAAAATTACGATTTTTTAGTAAAACTTTTTAGTTTTGGGGGCCCCTTTGAGGTCGGGGGCCCTGGCGCACCGCACCGCCTGCACCAGCCTCGCTACGGCCCTGGTTACATTTCAATATTTCAAAACCCTTACATAATCAATATTGCCCTGCTCATTGGGAATTAATTATTAAATTACAATAAATATTGTTAAAGTGTAAATACCTCTGTTAATTATTGTTTTCATTTAAATCAAATAAAATAATCTAAAACATATCTTGCTTGATAAATTATCAATGATAATACCTCGAAGTCCTAATTGATTCCAAAAAGTAATATTTTCCCAAATACCATACGCATATTTGTCTGGTTTTCAATATCAAACCTTTATCATTAAAACTAAAAAAATTCCAAAAAAACAATATTTTTTTTGCTTCCAGCTAAAGGCGGTTGTGGTAAACGACAATCTCGAAATTATCCATCAAGCATCAGTCCACTTTGATTCGGACCTGCCTGAATTTCGTACCCAAGGTGGTGTCGTTATTGATAAAACCTCGCCAAGATGTATCACTGCCCCGACGATAATGTTTGTGAAAGCGTTGGACATGCTAATGGACCGTTTGACTGTCACCGGTGTGGATTTCTCGAAAATTGCCGCTGTATCGGGAAGTGCACAGGTAGATTTTTATTTTTAACATGGCTTTATGATAATTGCTTCAAAGAATTTTATTGCTAAGTTTTGGAAAGAAATAAATTTATGTGGTTTTGATAAAAAGATTAAATTCAATTATCGACATAATAGCTCTGAAACTTTACGGCATTTACATGAGAAATTTTTAAAAATAACATCAAATAATTATTTTTGTAAATAACTTAGGAGTCATTCCAAATAAAAACACTAAATGGGGTGCGCTGCTTGATTTTTTATTTTGATAAAAAAAATTGAGGATGATCTTTTAAGTAACAAATATGAAAATCCGTTGCCGTTTTAATTTTTGGATTCTTTACTTTTAATCGGCACCCTTTAGAAATCTGAAATCATGTCAATTTCTTACTCTCTTATATATATATAGTGGTCCATATTGAAATGATTTTAATTTTTCTTACTGTTCAGTAAGTGTTTTTTCGATATAAATTATTATTATCAAATTAGTTAATCTCACAAAAGAATGGTAAACCACTAAAAATTCATGATAATTTGCCAATTTTTGTGATTTTTGTCTGGCTCCTGTGCCTATTATTCTAAATCTAAAAAGGTTTTTTTTCATGTATCAAGTAGGTACTTATACAATAGAAAACTTAACTATTATTTTTAGTTTAGTTTCTAGACTATCATTTTCTTTATTAAAAAAATTATTGAAACTTGATAATTTTCAAAATTAGCCAATTTTGCCCTCAGAAATCATTATGTTGAGGAAAAAATAAAAATCTGAAACTTTCTGGAAATGTAGTCAAAACCTTCATCTTTTCAGTCTAGTTAGTCTTGTTTTGTTATTTTTATCCATGTAAAAGATATAATAATTTTTTTCTACTCCTATTACGGAATTTGACCCTTCTAATATCACTTTTATCTATGGAATGACATATATTCCGTAAAGTGTTACAGAATGAAATATTCTATCATCTGATTATAGAATAAACACTCGTGGCGACATCTCTGTTTTTAATATCTAACAAATTTTGGACCGATCCAACCTCACTTTCTTCCAATTAAATTATTTTTATATGGTATTTTTTGGAAACGTAGAAAAAGTATAGTCTGAAACACGTTTGGAATTGCATATTCCGCTCTCGTGAAACCGTCAAACTCGCCTTCGGCTCGTGTGACAAACTCTTCACTCGAGCGGAATATGCTGAATTCCAAACTTGTTACAGAATATACTATTTTAATGCAGTTAAGAAGCGATATTGTTAGTTTTATTTATAATTTAAAATTTAGATGGCTTTGACTTAGTCAATTCATGTTTGATAGAGAAATGTCAGAACTGTCAAAAATATTATAATTAATATTTATGAAATATTTTTGACAGTTCTGACATTTCTCTACCAAACATGAATTTACTAAGTCAAAGCCATCTAAATTTTAAATTATAAATAAAAATAACAATATCGCTTCTTAACTGCATTAAAAAAATTATTATATCTTTTTAAAAGATATAATAATTTTTTTAATGCAGTTAAGAAGCGATATTGTTATTTTTATTTATAATTTAAAATAAAATTTTTACATGGATAAACATAACAAAACAAGACTAACTAGACTGAAAAGATGAAGGTGGGGACTACATTTCCTGAAGGTTTAATATTTTTATTTTTTCCTCAACATAATGATTTATGAGGGCAAAATTGGCTAATTTTGAAAATTATCAAGTTTCAATAATTTTTTTAATAAAGAAAATGATAGTCTAGAAACTTAAAATAATAGTTACGTTTTCTATTGTATTGATACCTGAAAAAAGCAACTTTCTAGATTTAGCAGAATAGAATAGAATAGAATTTATTGATGCAAAAATAAACGTATAGCGAATAGGCACAGGAGCCAGACAAAAATCACAAAAATTGGCAAATTATTACAAATCTTTAGTGGTTTACCATTCTTTTATGAGATGAACTAATTAGATAATAATAATTAATATTGAAAACCTACTTACTAGGCAGTAAAATAAAATTACAATCATTTCAATAATTGCCACAGAAAAAAAGTGTTAGCCTCTTATAAGAGAGTAAGAAAATGACACGATTTTAGGTTTCTAAAGGGTGCCGATTAAAAATAAAGCAACTAAAAATTAAATCGGCAACGGTTTTTTATATATGATACCTAAAAGATCATTCTCAAATTTTTTCATTAAAATAAAAAATCATGCAGCGCACTTTTAAATTCATTTGGATTGACTCTTAGGTCAAATTTTCAAAACCATTTTTTTATCAAAGTATACGCTTTTTATGATTTATGTCTCGTTTAACAAATACAATTTTTCGTTAAAGATAAAATGGTGTAAGAATTGTCTTTTTGCGCTTCGCTTAATTGTAGCCCTATGCTACGTGTCGGCCATCAAACTTTGGTGTAAGCACAAAAAGACTCACTTCTTGACCTAATACCATAAATAACTGTTATATTTCAGCAACACGGCTCAGTGTATTGGCAGAAAGGCGCGGAAAAAATTCTAAGCAATCTAAACCCAAGTGAATTTTTGCATTTACAATTAGCAACTAGTTTTGCAATAAACCAAAGTCCAGTCTGGATGGACTCCAGCACGACGAAACAGTGCCAACATTTTGAAAAATTAGTTGGCGGTCCACAGGTAAATAATAACATTGTAGACAAAATGTTTTACAACTTAAATGTCTATTTTTAAAGAAATTAGCAGAAATTACTGGATCCAGAGCGTACGAAAGATTTACTGGAACCCAAATAGCCAAACTTGCAATAAGCAAACCTGATGCATTTAAAATAACAGAGGTAATATCTTATATTCTAAGGGGTAATAGTATTACTATTACCGTAAAATTAACGTTCGAAACAATCATTGTTATAATTAATTATACAAACATATTAAATTTATTTTTTTAGAGAATTTCCTTAATAAGCAGTTTTCTTACATCGCTCTTTCTGGGCAAAATAGCACCTATAGACATATCAGATGGTTCCGGCATGAACCTTTTAAACATTAACACGAAAAAATGGGAAAAAGTTTTGTTAGAAGCTTGCGGGCCAAACGCAATAGACAAATTGGGCGAAGAAGTTGTCCCTTCAAATACCAATTTAGGAAAAATATCAAACTATTATGTTGAAAGATACGGTTTTAGTCCTGAATGCAGGATTATTACTGGGACTGGAGATAACCCCGCATCTTTAATGGGTAAAAAATAAAGTAATTTTGTTCTCACATTTATACATTATTTTCAGGTATGAGACTTCAAGATGATTGTGTAGCAGTTAGTCTTGGTACAAGTGATACAGTAATTTTATGGTTAAATGAACCAAAAGTTGTCCTGGATGGCCATATATTGTGCAATCCAGTAAATCCTGAGGCCTATATGGCATTACTTTGGTAATATATAAAATCCCTAATAAATAGAAATATCAGAAACCTATCTAAAACTTCTATAAACAATAACAGCAAGCGCTACTCCACTACTATGGTCTATGGAAGTATGTGCGCTTTGGACATACTAGCGACATCTCTGTTTAAAGCCGAGAAGTTCCTTCGTACGAAAACTACGTAGTTTTTCGGAAACTATTATTGTGTATAAAATTATTTAACGAAAACACCTCATATTGTAATAATACCACTCCCTCAACGTTAATATTATTAAAACCACTATATTTTACACGCATATTTTAATACTTTTTGTTTTTTTCTTAATCTTAGGTGTTGACCGCTAAATAACAAGATTATTAAGTTTTCAGTAATTCATTTGAAATTCAACTATTCGAATAGGTAGTTTGATTAATTGAATGGTTAGAATAAAAAAAAATTCACAATAATAATTATAATAATCAAGTATTTGACGAAAAAATGTAAGGTGTTTCACATTCGTGTCCCATTAGAAGTTTTTGGGGAACGAAATAGAAATTTTAAAAGCGTTTATAATCCATTTAAGTCTATTTTACTAAAATATTTTAAACAAAATGCCACTTTCGAAAATGACAACTTTTTTATTTCAAATAAAACAACCCATATGTATATACATATATATATATATATATATATATATATATATATATATATATATATATATATATATACATCACACTATCATCGAGGCGTCTTTTCATTTCGACTACTTATGAGCGTCCTAGCGTATATTTTTCATCGTACTATTTTCTTAGCGTCCGTTCATTATAGCTCTTCTTAGCGTCCATGATATTCAAATAATTTTATTTTCCAACTTCTCGGCGTCCTGGCGGTGTTGCCAAGTAAAATAAATTAAATAAATGCAGTAAGCAAAGGCAATTTATGTTAATTAGGTGATTATTAGTAACTCCGTTATTATTTGAACTACAAATTCGGTTAAATTAGCAAATTGGCATTTTTTCGACTGATTTAATTGGTGAAAACAGAAAAACAATTGAATATGGGTTTACCGAAATATTTACAAAAATAACAATTTTTTTAATGGGACAGGGTGCATATTTTTAAATATTTTAAAAGACAATTTAAACTTAAAAATAAACAATTAATAAAAACTTAAACTTTCCCCTGGTTGTTGAAATAACTAAATTATTAATTTATTATAATTACAATCAGAAAGTTAAAGAGCATACTTATTGTTTATTATTAAATTTAGGGTAGTTATGCAATATTTATTTTTTGTTCCAAATTAAATTGTCTTTTAAAATATTAGTGAATATTAGTGAATATTTAGGAAACCCGACGTTTAATGGTTTTTCTGTCAGCAAAGAGACTTAAATCATCCGAGAGTATAATTAATTCGCATAATCTCGATTGCAATACTATGCTTTATATACTTCAATAAGTAGATAATTAAATGATTTTCAAAAATAATTTAATAAAATCTGACATCTGTCAAATTATTAACCTCACTTTTTACCAATTTTAAATGTTATTATAATAATAATTTAAAACCCGATTGGTTTAAATATTGAAATGACCCGGTCAACATTTAACGTAACAGTAATGCCGTTATGCAACATATGAGTAACACTGCAATGTAACGATGTTACTAAAATGCAACGCAACAGTTACCTAAAATAATGGTAACATTGTTACCGTCCCAAGTTAACCAATATGCAATATAACAATAACGTAACATTGCGATACTATTGTAATGTAACAAAATTACCAATAAGCAATTTAACAACAATGTAACATTGTGAAACTATTGTAATGTAACAAAATTACCTATAAGCAATATAACAGCAACGTAACATTGTGAAACTATTGTAATATAACAAAATTACCAATATGCAATATAACAGCAACGTAACATTGTGAAACTATTGTAATATAACAAAATTACCAATATGCAATATAACAGTAACGTAACATTGCAATAATATTGTAATAAGTTTGTTACGTAACAGTTACATCTCGCTCGTGTTACCACCTTGATTAGGTATATAAACGAAGTTAAGACAGCGCACCATGCCCATTTGTCATTGGACCTCAAATAGTCTGCCTGATTATGGGAAAGTCAGAATACGATATTATTTATCATTTGATACGCTTTAGCGTTCAACTAAAGGAACTTTCTTATGTCGAGCATAATAACGTTGCAACGTAACAATGTTACATAACCGTAAAGGCTATCTTATGTTACATAAGTTCGATTGCGAAAATGTAACGGCAACGTAACATTGTTACCTATTTGCAACCATCAGGTTATGTAACTGTAATGTTACACATTACAATCGTTACATAACATTTTGGTTAATGTTACGTAACAGTTATGTATCATTTTCATAACGGAAACGGCAATTGTTATGTAACAATGTTACTCCTATCAGTGGAAAATAGGAACCTATTTGCAATCATCAGGTTATGTAACTGTAATGTTACACATTACAATCGTTACATAACATTTTGGTTAATGTTACGTAACAGTTATGTTTCATTTTCATAACGGCAATGTAACATTGTTATGTAACAATGTTACTCCTATGAGTGGGAAATAGGAACCTATTTGCAACCATCAGGTTATGTAACTGTAATGTTACACATTACAATCGTTACATAACATTTTGGTTAATGTTACGTAACATTTATGTATCATTTTCATAACGGCAACGGCAATTGTTATGTAACAATGTTACTCCTATCAGTGGGAAATAGGAACCTATTTGCAATCATCAGGTTATGTAACTGTAATGTTACACATTACAATCGTTACATAACATTTTGGTTAATGTTACGTAACAGTTATGTTTCATTTTCATAACGGCAATGTAACATTGTTATGTAACAATGTTACTCCTATGAGTGGGAAATAGGAACCTATTTGCAACCATCAGGTTATGTAACTGTAATGTTACACATTACAATCGTTACATAACATTTTGGTTAATGTTACGTAACATTTATGTATCATTTTCATAACGGCAACGGCAATTGTTATGTAACAATGTTACTCCTATCAGTGGGAAATAGGAACCTATTTGCAATCATCAGGTTATGTAACTGTAATGTTACACATTACAATCGTTACATAACATTTTGGTTAATGTTACGTAACATTTATGTATCATTTTCATAACGGCAACGGCAATTGTTATGTAACAATGTTACTCCTATCAGTGGGAAATAGGAACCTATTTGCAATCATCAGGTTATGTAACTGTAATGTTACACATTACAATCGTTACATAACATTTTGGTTAATGTTACGTAACAGTTATGTTTCATTTTCATAACGGCAATGTAACATTGTTATGTAACAATGTTACTCCTATGAGTGGGAAATAGGAACCTATTTGCAACCATCAGGTTATGTAACTGTAATGTTACACATTACAATCGTTACATAACATTTTGGTTAATGTTACGTAACATTTATGTATCATTTTCATAACGGCAACGGCAATTGTTATGTAACAATGTTACTCCTATCAGTGGGAAATAGGAACCTATTTGCAATCATCAGGTTATGTAACTGTAATGTTACACATTACAATCGTTACATAACATTTTGGTTAATGTTACGTAACAGTTATGTAACATTTTCATAACGGCAATGTAACATTGTTATGTAACAATGTTACTCCTATGAGTGGGAAATAGGAACCTATTTGCAACCATCAGGTTATGTAACTGTAACGTTACACATCACAATTGTTACATAACATTTTGGTTACTGTTACGTTACAATGTTGACCGAGTTCATTATTTCCGTTGTTAGGCAGAGAATTTATATCATTATTCACAAAAAAAACAATATTATGCAATAGGAGTAGATACAGTATTATTATACATCCTGTCCCAAAATGTAAAAATCTGTTAACACCCAATAATTGATATCAGCATGGTATAAAAACATTTTATACAGAATTCTGTATAAGATGTTTTATACCATCAATTATTGGGTTAACGTTAACGGTAAAGTTACGTACGTACTGTAACGTTACAGTATTAAAGGTTATGTTTCAATTTTATAACAGCAATGTAACATTGTAATCCATTAAAAAGTTACATAACAACATAAAAATAATAATACATTTATGTAACGATATCGTGACATTGTTATGTAACAATGTTACTTCAAAAAGAGGGAAATAGGAACCTATTTGCAACCATCAGGTTTTGTAGGTAACTGTAATGTTACATATCACGATTGTTGCGTAACATTTTGGTTAATGTTACGTTACAGTGTCGAACGTTATGTTTTTTCTTTTATAACGACAATGTACATTGTAATCCATTAAAAAGTTACATAACAACATTAAAATTATAATGCATTTATGTAACGACAACGTAACATTGTTATTTAACAATGTTACTTTAATAAGCGGGAAATAGGAACCTATTTGCAACCATCAGGTTATGTAACTGTAATGTTACACATCACGTTACAATGTTTGATTAAATGAATGTGGTTTTTATTTTTTAAACTACCTAATAGGAATTTTTTTTTTTTTGAAAATATTATCTCCGAAGGTCTTCTGGCTATAACATTATTTAACGTGGCTTATAAGTATATATGTAAGTTATTTTTAAATATTTACCTGTGCTACTTTACCAAATAATAATTCTGAACTAAAGTTAGAGTCATGTAATATTTTATCAAAATTTGCAATGGTTTAGTACTGTTTTGGGATATCCAAAAAATAAATTACCCACTGGGAATACAATTTAATGCCCCTAAAAGCCAAATGGTACAAAAGTACATTTTGTTTAGTTTTGAGATAGTCATGTTTAAAGTTAAAACCTTTTTTGTAATTTGGGGTCAAAATTGTTTCATAAGTTTGGTATTTGGTATTAACTACTACGTTGACGAGCTGTGACTTTATGGCGTTTTAGTCTCGGGCTAAAGTTTGCAATATTGGCTTTTGGGTATTTTGGTCACGGGCTGAAGTTAGATTTATTATAAATAA